TGGTAGGGAGGGAGGGAGAGAGAGCGCGCACTTCTGTTGTGTGATCTTTATTGATGTTCGCTCACTTAGCACGCATCATTTGGATTAAAACTAAATTGTAAATATAAGACAATTTATAGGGGCATTCACTATAAACGTCATTTATTTTTACCCTTAAGCATACACGACTTTCTGGCGAAAGTGACACTAACAGCCTGTGTGAAATGCGCTAGGCTGTACTGTACTTGTCCCTCTCATCCTGCATCAGTACAAATACGTGTGCGCGTTGCGCGTGTTTTGCTTTGCTTCATGAGTGTTTCTGCATTATACGAGTGGCTTTGGAAAATAAATCGCTGCACGTTTCAGATGAAAAAAACAAAATAAACTAAACTGTGAAATATTATATCCAAAAATTCTTCATACGGTGGACTACCAGTAAAATTGATACAAATTTGGGACCAAAAATTATTCAGACTGAGTCTGGGGAAAAAATGTAAGTTCAGGTTTGCATGAACCTGGTTGACAGCATGCCCAGGAGACTATATGCTGTCATTAAGGCTAAGGATCTCCCGACAAAGTATTGATAGTTGTGTAAATATTGACAGGTGTATGAATAATTTTTGGTTTATTGTAATCCATTACATACCTTTCTATCAAAGTTATCTGACATTATCAAGCTGAATTTGTTCTGGCACAGTTTAACTCTGAGTTCTTGTCATATTTTATTACCATTTTCTAAACTATAGCGAATAAACGGTGATAATGTGAGAAATGTTGAAGGTGTCTGAATAAATGTTGGTTTGACTGTATCTATTTGATAAATTAAGTTAACCAACTAACATTATACATACTCTTTGGTTTCTGTACCCAATATTTAAAAAAATTACAAATGCAATGAAAATATTGGTATCGGTACTTGGTATCGGCAAGTACCAAAAATAAAAGTATCGGTATCGGACGAGTACTGGAAAAAGTGGTATCGGTGCATCCCTATTTATTATCATTGTTTATTCATCCTCATGACTTTCCAAACCTGTATGACTCACTTACTTACTTCTGTGGAGGTTGAGTGGAAAAAAGCATGGGTGAAATTTGCTCCAAAACATTCCCATTTGTTTTCCATGGAAATAAGAACATCATATGGGTTTTTATTGACATAAGTATCAGTAAATTATGATAGAATTTTCATTAGTTTGGCTAGGCTAATGCTTTATAACATTTTCTCCCACAGTACATTGGGTGCACGCTCACAGATCTTTGTAACACCGTGCTTCTAAACAGGTTTAGTTTAGTTCAAGACTTTAGAGCTCAAGGACTGACCCGAACCATCGGAGTTTGAGTTACTGTTGTCCATGTTGTCCAAAAGATGGGAAAAACTGGTGCTGAAGAGGAAAAAGGACTGTTGAGCAGCACATTTTCAGAGCAGTTCTGTTTTCTGATTAGACTTTGACAAGAAAATGCGACTGGTCAGAAGATCTAAAATAGCCCACCCTATGATATTTTGGTATATCCACGGATCTATGCCAGTCTGTTTTTGTCACTCTATACACAAACGTTTAAAATTTGGGGTGGTTAAGATTTTTGTAAAGTCTAAAAGCTAACAAATTTAACACAATTTATGTGTTAAAAAAATTGAATCAACAATAATATTGTAAAATATAATTACAATTTATAATAACTTTTCTATTTTAACACATTTTACAGTGTAATTTATTCCAGTAATGGCAAAGCTGAATTCTTAGCATCATTACTCCAGTCTTCAGTGTCACGTGATCTTTCAGAAATCATTCTAATGTGCTGATTTGGTACTTAAGAAACATTTCCCATTAACAGTTAAAAACAGTTGTGCTGCTTAATATTTTTGTGGAAACCATGATACGTTTTTTTTTCAGCATTATGGTTTGAAATTAGTTCAAATATACATCTTTTGTAACATTATAAATGTGTTTACTGTTACTTTTAATGCACCCTTGCTCAATAAAAGTATTATTTCTTTAAAAAAATGAAAATTCTTGGCTGAAACAGAAAGTGAAAACCGAAACTGCCACTTTTAAATGAGCCTTCTATTAGCCCAATTTTGGCGGGCCAAAATGTCAAAGGTTCATTGCTAATATGATCGCTAATTCCAAAGAACTTTTGACTTTAGATTGTTTATGCCTGAAATATATTTCTAGTTTGTGGATATCTCTGGATAACTCAAACCTGCATAAACTATGTGAGCACCGCAGCTCAACATGTGAAGAGCAAGTGCAATAACCATTGTGTCACAGTTCTTACCACTTGATGTGCCTAGTCAAAAAACATGATTTTTGCACAGCTGAAAATGAGGCTTGCAAATACTTTTACAACCATTTCATTTTCAAGTTGAAAATAAGTGACACTTTAAATTGTTTTCTGAACTAACCTCTCCAGACTCAGTCCAAAATGGATATTCATTTATAATGACTTACATAGAACAAATAAAAAATTATTTCAGGTTCAGAAATGCTGTTTTTTTTTTTCTTCATCAGTACATTGTCCGTTTAGTCAGTCTAGAAACCTTCTCAGTCTCAGTAACTTCCTCTTCTGTTCTGTTTGCCCTTTCTCTGTCTCTCACAAATGACAGTAACTGTTTTTATAAATAATTTCCTTCCTGTGTCATTATTTCTTATCAATATCGTATCACTATCAGCACTGGGCGTCGAACAAGAAGTCACAGCTATTCATTAAATAAAAGCCTGTGACACTCGGAGTCTGCTACTCACATAGCTCTCATTTGAAACTAATGACATTGAGGGGGGCCAAAAAATGCATTAAAGGGCTAGTTTACCTTAAAATAAAAATTCTATCATAATTTTCTCTGATGTGATATGACTTTCTTCTGCAGAACATAAAAAAATTATCCAAAATGTGTGTTTTTTGTTGTTGTTGTTTGTTTTCATTGTTCCTACAATGAAATTCAATGGTCACCACAACCATTTGGTAACCAACATTTCTTCAAAAATATCAATCTATATTTGGTTTTCCACAGAAGAAAGTAAGTCATTCAGGTTTGAAATGACATCAGAGAGAATAAATTATTACAATTATTTATTTGTATTTTTGGGGGAGTAAACTGTGTCTTTAATGGTTTTAAAAAAAAGGGTTTTCTCAGGGTTTTCACAACCTGTTTCTAAAGTGATTCCCTTTTTATTCTTACCATAAGTTCTTAACGTATGTATCAGTGTTAGCTGCCTCACTGCAGTCTGAACTTTTTGAATTTTTTCCCTTGCTACGGAATAAATCCACAAGTGCTCTGGACAAAGGAGTGTTTGTCAGTGAATTATAAGGGCAATGGTGGGTATATTTGGCTGCTCTCTTCAGATGTAGTTAGTCATAAGGGTGGTACTTCCTGTCTTTTAAGATAGAACTGCTGTTTATTCCTTTATATAATCAACTTACATGGGTCTTCGAACTGACTTTGTCATGTTTTGATTTATTCTCATATATTTGTGGTGGTTCTGATGGACAGACATGGTGGGAGAATTTACACATGCAGTAATTGTTTTTAAAATAGTTTTTATGAAGTCATGTAATAAAGCAAGAGCTGTTGTAAATGGAAAGTTCAAAGGGAGGGACTTGGCTTAAATTCTTATGTGGAGCTTAAAAACATTGAAGCAGACATTTGAAAAAACGGATTATACGTGAAGGCTTTGACGACTTCTCTTTCACTCAGATTGAATCATGTATTTGTTCAAATGGCTTGGTTTAGATAGCATGTCTGTGCCTTTGTTTGAACACACACACGCACGCACACACATAGTTTGAACTCTGTACCTGGAAGGGTAAATTCACAGGGTGTGTCTATACCTGAGAAATTTCACACCAGAGAGAGAGAAAGATCAGAACAGACTAATACAATAAATTTACAGTAAAGCTAAACACAGGATTTTATTTTATTACCTACAGGTGGTGCTCATTAGCTGAAACATATTTCTCCTGTCTTGTTATTAAGAGGTAGTTCATTCAAAAATGAAAATTCTGTCATTTTCTCAACTTCATGTCATTTAAAACATGTCACTTTCTTTTTTGTGGAACTCACACAAAAGGTGAATTTAAAAAAAATATCCTGGTTACTCCTGGTTGCTTTTCCAAAATCTTTCAACTCTTCTGCATGAAAATAGCTGCCATTTAAGTTATTTATTGAAAATATTGACATCTCCACTCTATTGGGGTCAAAAAAGTTAATTGTCAATAGTGTAGCAATGGATGAAGCACAGCTCACACAAAAGTCACTTTGAACATGAGCGAAATCTACAGAGGAAATTTTTTCACCCTTGCCCGAAACTTCAGATTGAGCAGAGTACTATTGAAACGTCTGGATTTTGCTAACAATATTTTGCCAAGCAGTAGTAAATGTGACTACACACGATATTTTAATTAAAAATACACTGTTTGTGCTCCACAGAAGCAGGAAGTTTTGGAGTGACAAGTGACAATACATGAGTAAATTATGAATTGTGTTTTTTAATCGAATTGTAGTTTTTGGGTGAACTATTCCTTATATCTCTTAAAATACTTTGTTGTATGAATATCTGAACATGCAATATTTTAAAAGGAGGAACAAAGCCTCTGCTTTTGAACAAAAAAAACGTTTTTTTCTAGCTTCATGCATTCTTTTTTTTATCAACATTTTGAAGGAAAAGCTGAGAAAATCATGTTTTTGTCAAAGACCACATGGATCATATTTAGAACAAAGATCAAAACATAGATGGAGTCCATCGACTCTGTTTAAAGTTTGATGATCACGTTATTTTACATATGCATCTGCTTACATACGCCATCGTTACTTTCTGCTTCTTCTTCACATGTGTTTGATCCAGATGTTAAATACTCTTTTCAGAAGATGTTTGATAGCACCTCCTACAGTATACCAGTGAAAACACGGAAAACTGGGAAATTCTGTCATTGGCGGGGGAAGAGGTCATAATTTCAAAGAATAATTTGTTATATGTTTCCAGATTCACTGATTCTACAGTATTGTATGTGTTTCTGTGTTTCAGGGAGGCATAGAGAAAGGTCTGGAGATGAAGAAACTGGTTCTGTCTGGTTTCCTGGCCAGTGAGGGGATCTATATTAACCAGCTAGAGGCATTGCTGCTGGTGAGTACCATTACCACTAATGTCGTCACTCACACTTCATGAGAAACCTGTTGTGGGAACTTCACAGTCCTCTTCTATGTGACTCTATGTGGAGTGTGTGTGGAGTGTTTTAAAGCTGAGTAACAGTAGGTAAAGGGACCTTTTGCCTTATTTTATTTTATATTACAAAAACAATGGCCCTTGCTGTTTGCAGTACTACTTTAACTTTAATTTTTTTTTTAAATCTAAATAAATAACCCCAGTTATGATTAGCTATCAGTGTTTCTTTAGAATAAGTTTACTCTTATATTTCATAAGAGCAAGGAAAAGCGAGTTTTCCGCAATATGGCTGCTTAGAGTGCAGCGTAAAGGGCATGCGTACACTCAGCCAATCAGGAAGCAGCATTTCCTATTTATAGAAAATGCTGAAATCTAATGTCTACCAGTGCTTTGTTCCTCTGCTGTTTGAACGTGTCATTTCCTGTCAGTCTTTGCTCTCTCTTTTTTTAACTGCTGTTCAAAGCATTCATTCTGTGCAATAACGTATCACAGCAGTTAAAGGTTTACTTAGTTGTACCAGTATTATCTTGCTTTGCCGTTATTACTAATCATAGTCAAATGGAAGCTGAATCAACATCAGATTTCTAGATCATTCATTGAGTTTGATAAGAGTAGACGCAGGGCAAAAATAAACCCTGAAACGGAACAAACTAGTAACCAGCACACATGCACACAAATCCACTGTATTTTGTAGTGTGCTCATTATGCGGGACACAAACTGTGCTACCTGCTGTTACAGTCTTTAAGGAACACCTGGATATCTCCTGTCTTCCTTTAAGTAAATCTGCTGATGAATGAAGCTAAAAGCGGACCTGTGTGTTTATGTACTTCTGCTCTCTGCTGCACACTTCCTGTCCAAACATTACTCAGCAATTTGGACCTGCAAGGAAAACGGCTACAAATACTGTGGCAGAGCAGATATGTAAATGAGCAAGCACACGTTTATTCATCTTCTCCAATCATTTCTTGAAATGACAGAGGGGAACTTGATTCCTGTCGTGCTGACGTCAGATGTCTGGCACTGCTGATAAGATTGTGAATATCCAGTAATGTGTTTTTTGACAGAGACCACTGCACATGGCACTGATAAATGCACTTTCCACTACTTGTCCGTGAAATATTTATTTGTTATGCTATAGTTCAAAGGTTTGCATGTGGCTATTCGTTGTTATTGCTATTTTTAGAATAGTTCATCAAAACTATGAAATAATACATGGTTGTATGGACAAATTAAGGCCTCAAAAAAGTCTTAAATCAGAGCAAAAATTCAAAGTCACTGCATTAAATGTTGCATACATTGCTAAAAATTTATATCTTTCTCAGTATTTTTGTCTTGTTTTCCAGTAGAAATATTTAAACATCCTTAAATCAAGATATATTCGCTGGAGATGCAAAATTAAAATATAAAGTCTTGTTTTCTGAGAAACTGAACGAAATTAAGTTTATGCTTAAAACAAGAACAAATAGGAATGAAAACTTGTTTTGTATGAAGTTGATTTAAATGTCGATTACGCATGAATTAAGTAGATTTTTCTGAGCCCATGTTCCTTAATTTTTCTTTGGTCTTAAAAACGTCTTTAAATTTTTTTTTTTTAAGTATTCATTCTTTCAATATACTCCATGAGGTGCATCCTGAGATGCTTTTTAAACAGTATTGAGTTATTTATGTGGGACACTTTAAAAAAAAAGGGCTTTTATTCACATATAAACATTCATCAACACATAGAGCACATCAAATATTGTAAATAGAAGCTCAGTCCACTTGCTTGATGCAAGATGTTTTATACGTTTGGATTGGAATGACATGAGAGTGATTAAATTTATAGACAGAACAGCTGAATTACAATGTTTATCACATTACATTTTTGCAAATATTAGCAAAAATGTGTAATTGTCCTAGTGTGAACACTCCTTAATTCTTTATATCAAAATTGAGTCCTTCTGTTCTGGTAAAGGATGGAAAACATCACACCCTTTGGTTAGAAATGCAGATTCAATGACTTCAAAACCACGTCGTAAAGATGTGTTCAGACTCCAAGCTGTGAGGACGCATGCGGTGGTAGTGAAGGGCTGTGTATGTGGTCAAAGATTTGACTCCAGGTCAGGGAAACTCATTTGACACGTTTGACTTTAGATTCCCTCAGGGTGATGATTCGGGAAATTAGTGTTTGGTGCTTTGCATAAAAAGTAACCAAAAATAATTCAGAAGGTCCAAGGGATACTGCTTCAGCAGAAGTGGATGATTTTAGTCCTCCTTGTGCTTTAATTAAAACATTACTCATTTGTCCTGAAGCTCTTCAGACCCTGTGAAATCAAAACTGGAGTTCTGTGGCTTCTAGTGTGTCAATTTTAGGTGCATGTATATGATAGTGTACTCCTTGAAATTACTATATTGACTGTTTTCAAGTCAAGTCAAGTCACCATTATTTATAGAGCACTTTTTACAATACAAATTGTGTCAAAGCAGCTTTACAGTATTAACGGGGAAATAGTGTGTCGTTCTCATCTGGCCAGACAAAACCAGCAGTTTAAATCTAGTTTTAACAGATGTACACCTCCTTTCAAGTTTGAGGTTAGTAGGGATTTTTTTATTCTTTTTTTAAAATAAAATAATACTTTTGTTTAGCAAGAACACATTAAATTGATCCAAAGTATACAGTAAATACATTCATAATGTTACAAAAGATTTTTATTTGGAATAAATTGTTCTTTTGAACTTTTTATTAATCAAAGAATCTTGAAAAAACGGTTTCCGCGAACAGTATTAAGCAGTACAACTGTTTTCATAGGAACCAAATCAGCATATTAGAATGATTTCTGAAGCATCAAGTGACTCTAACGGCTGTCACATGCCTGCTGAAAAAAGAAAGCAGTTATTTTAAATTGTAATAATATTTCACAATCTTAAAGTGTTTTTGATCAGATAAATGCAGCCTTGCTGAGGATGAGGGACCTTCAAAAACATTCAAAAATCCCAAACTTTTCAGCGTTTATGTATTCCAAATGTTACTGTAAATCTTTCTCTTTTGGGAAAATGGACAAAATATTATCAGTATTTTTGATCCAATCAAATGCTCCCTATTAACAAACGCAGATGACTCCCATTAAGCTGCAAATCATCATGATTTGTGACTGTGATGTAACAAAAGATTATGGGCGATTTTAAAAGAAACAGGCTCTTTGACATGTCCCGCTCAAACTTCCTGCTTTAAGCGGAAATACATCAATACAGGGGAAAAAACTGCACTCATCAAGCAGTATCATGATGCAGAGGAGAGCAACTTACAATGAGTCACACTTATCTGAAAATAACCATCCTGCACTTTAACACAGTGTTATCAGCCCTGTAGAAAGAACACACATGAACACATGTGCTGTGAAATGTTTCTTCTGCTCTCATTTACAATGTTTGTTCATGTGCTTTCTCTTGTCAAATTTACAAAGACACAGAGTACCCCTCTGCCCTGTTTAGTCTGGACGGCATTGAAAATGCAAAGGAAATGAATGTTAATCGATACATCAATTCACAGGAAGTGGAGAGGGAAACTACTTGAGAACTACACGAATTTTGGCTGAACTAAATGCATTGAAAAGGACTTAATGGTTTAATTCAGTTTAAATCACCTCAGAAGTGATTGCTAGGCAGTTGTTTGTGGGTATAAAGTGCACAAGATGCAACAGTGCCATTATTATGATCAGGGGTCACATAACCAAACCACATGCATTTTCATGTTAAAGTTTAAATCACTCAGTTTAAGGATTTTGAGTATGGTAATTTTTTTACTTAATGTTAAAATGCATTACTTAATATATAAATGCGTGTGAGTAGCGAACATGTTCACTAATTCACTTCTCTTTCTCTCTCTCAGCCCATGAAGCCTCTTAAAGCCACAGCTACTACATCAAAGCCAGTGCTGACAATGGAGCAGATTGACACTATTTTCTTCATGATCCAAGACATCTTTGAGATCCATAAGGAGTTTTATGATGCTCTTTCTCCCAACATTCAGCAGTGGGATGAGAAGGTCACTGTCGGACATCTTTTCCAGAAACTGGTGAGTCCACCTGCCACATAGTGTCCTGCCAAACACAGATGGTTCCAAAGACAATGACCCTCTATGTAGTGTACACTACAAACCAAATGTTTAGGGTCAGTAAAATTAATAAATAAAGTAAATAAAGCATTAAATTGATCAAGATTGACAGAAAAGACATTTATAATGTTATAAAATATTTCAATGTAAAATAAAATGCTGTTCTTTTACACTTTCTATCCGTCTGAAAATATTAAGTAGCACAACTGTTTTAAACATTTATAATACTAATATGCAACAAATCATCATATTAGAATGATTTCTGAAGGATCATGTGACACTGAAGACTGGAGTAATGACTGCTGGAAAAGCTTTGCATCATAGGACTAAATTACATTTTAAAATATATGGAAATAGAAAACTGTAATATTTTAGACTGTAATAATATTTCACAGTATTCCTATTTTTACTATATTTTTGATCAAATAAAGGCAGCCTCGGTGATGATAACAGCCCTTTAACATGCACTAAATATAATTAGAAAACTCACTTTTCAGCATTAGTCTTGGCGGCTGTTATAGTAAAAACACAAATATTATAGTACAAATATTTGATTTCCTCATGTAATGCTTATTTCATATGTAAAGAGTTTAGTCAGTCATACAGTGTGATTTTTACTTGAAATCTGTGTTTAGTCTTTACTTTTTAAACCTTCTTTGAGATTCTTGCATTATATATAGATCTCTCTTTATATGGGTATGTACTGTATGTGTGCTCATATCTAGAAGACACTTTGCCAGACTATATAAATGCACTTGATAAGAATCATCTTCCTCTGAGAGTTAGAGTAGAAGGATAGAGGAGCATCTGTTGAGACTGAAAGAAACAGCAGAGAGAAGATGTCTAAGTACTGCCAGATGAAAATGAAACTCTCAGCTCTATTTAGGCCTGTGTGTGTGTGCACGTGTTTGCATGGAACTGGAGAAGCAGATGCTCCACGTGTCTATGATGAATGGAAAGCTGTCTAGGTAGAGGGCTTGGGGTGGGCTATTGTGTGTCTCATTGACGAACTCTAGAGTTGGAGTTAGCTCACTCTTCAAACTGCAGTTAAATATGTTATTAATCATGTTGTTTATTCTCTATTTATTTTCAGTTGAATGACATTAATGGATGTTCAGTTTTTTACATTTTCTGTGCTGCAAGCTGGGAAAATCTAGATTTAAAATACACTACCGTTCAAAATATTTTTTTTTGACACTCTCTTATTGTATGCTCACACAGGCTATATTTATCTGATCAAAAATACAGTAAAAACAATAGTATTGTAAAATATTACTACCATTTAAAATAACTGTTTTCTATTGAAATGTATTTTCATAATATATATATATATATATATATATAAATTACATAAATTATACTTTATTCCTGAATTTTCAGCTTTCTCAGTCATAACTCCAGTCTTCAGTCTCACATCATCATTCAGAAATCATTCTAATATGCTGATTTTGTGCTCAAGAAACATGGCTTATTATTTTCAATGTTGAAAACATTTGTGTTGCTTAACATTTTTGTGGAAACTGTGGTCCATTTTCTCCCTTTTTTTTCTCTGATGAATTGAACGTTCATAAGAACAGCATTTATTTGAAATGGAAATCTTTTATGAAATGATAAATTTACTGTCACTTTTGATCAATTTAATGAATCTTTGCTTAAGAAAATTCTTAATTTCTTTAAAAAAAATTCTTAATGACGCCAGTCTTTGAATGGTACAATGAGTTAAATAGAACCAGGAATATACTATACTCGAACTCAGAGCTAAAGGGTCTTGGGATATGTGAATGACTCTGTTCATTCATGAACAGAAATTCATTCATGATTTCTGTACAGTTAAAAGTTAAGTGGCACTCAGCATTTTGGTCTTTTGTGGATATGTAGTAAAGCTGAATGATATAGAATATTTATCTCAATATTTTCAATCCTTTTGACAATATTTGATGTGTATTTTTCAGTGATTATGTATGTTCTGCATGACTTGTAAATGTGATTTCCTCTTCCAGTTAGAGGAACCATATAAGATACAAAAACTGTTGTTGCTAAGCAGAAATGTTTAATGCAAAATTAAAAATTAAAAAAACAAACATAGTGAAACAGCCAGTACAGTCATTAGAAAACTTTACAGCTCAAATAGAAAGCTCATTGATATAACTACAATATTCATTATGCTGCTTAATTTTAAATAGATAACAAAACAATAAAGAATGCATTGTAAATGTAAGTTGTTATCTTGTGCTGTTAAATTCATTGTTCCACTCTGAATTAATTTTGTTGGTCTTTACCCAGCATGCATTACTGCTCATCATTACAGGTTACACTTCATTTATCTTCTGAACCAAACAGCAGATGGCAGGAGGTTATGAAACATGACTTTTCTAAAGATTTTTCTCCACACACACACACACACACACACACACACTTGATTAGTAAAACATTGTGACAGTGGTTGAGTTAGCAGATGGAGTAATTACAGGCTCCCTATTGCTCTGAACAACTCAGCGAAGAGGAAAAGAAGAACAAAAGTCTAACACTAAAAGAGACAAGAAGTAAAAAAGTTTAGTTTTTGAACAGAAGGAAAGGTTTAGGATGAGCAAATCCAGACGGCGTGGATTGGAGGCAGAGTTTCTCTCTATTAGTCACCCTTCACTCTTTCTTTCTCTCTCACTCCCCCACTCATTAGCTCTGCACTTCTCTTCCCACAAATGTTTCTCTCTTCACTTCGTCTTTGTGACGTGCGCGTGCGTATCAGCACTCGTCTGTTGACACGGTTGGTGAAGAGTCAGAGCGCTTGATGTGGGGTTGCTAGGCGACGACAGCATGTCTGTGTGATGTGTTGCGTTCCAGACTTCTCTCGAGCAGCGGGAGAGAAGAGCATGCTGGGATGGAGATTGAGAACACAGGGTCTCAACATGCAGTTATCACCTCAGGGCAAATATACAGCACTCCATAACCTTACACAAGTCAGGAATCACCACAGAGAAGATGGATCATAAGACAACAGGAAGAAGAAAGAGCGAGCTAGAGGTCAAATTAGTTGACTTGTTGACCACCAATCTGAAAAATGAAAACTACAGCTTTTAACTTAAAAATAGTATTTGGACTGTGAAGAGTTTTAAATGATTAAACACAATCTAATCAAATCACATACAATCAAATTAATTTAGGTGATAGAAAACCTTAGTTTGAAGTGAAACTATATTTTCCACATTTTCAGAGTAGAAATATTACATCAAATAATAAAATTAATTGCACCAGTTGTTATGCTTGTGTTATTTACTATCTTTAAATTAAATAGTGAATTTAACCGTGAATTTAACGGTAAAAGACTGTAAAAATCATACAGTAAAAACCTGTTAAATGGTTAACGGTAAATTCCCCTACTATATACAGGTGAAAAACTGTATTGACATTACATGTATTGGACATTATGGTAGTATACCGTTTTTGGAAGTGAAAAAGACCGTATAATTTACAGTGAATAACCATAAATTGACATTCCCATTTCAAAAGTAATATTGTTACTTCACTTATTACTTTCTGGCAACAGTAATTAGTTACATTACTAGTTACATTACTTTTTCTTCACGCCCCACAGAAGTTGTAACTGTGTATCTTCCACATCAAATTCTTCTAGAATGTTACTAACAACATATTTCTGCCTCATCATTTGACCAAAATCCACATTGGATCGCAGTCAGAAGTTATTACAAACACTCAATAGTCATTGATAGTGACATTCAAGTAGAAGTGTTGTATTAAACTTTACGGTATTTAACTGTACATTTAGGTTAAAACTGTTAAACCTAAAACTTGCTACCGTATTTTTTACGGTAAAATTCCGGCAACCACAGCTGCCGGTTTTTTACCATAAATTTTACTAATTTTTTTTACAGTGTACTGTCCTTCCTTATTATATATATAGTGGGCTGCTAGCTGGGTTCAGTCCTATCTTGATGACAGAAGCCAGAGAGTTGATATTAAGGGTATATTGTCTGGTCCTTTATCAATCAATTGTGGAGTTCCTCAAGGGAGTATTTTAGGTCCCTTATTTTTTCTCTTATATATAAATGATCTTAAAGCAGCGTGTTCAGAGGAACTTTTTCTTTATGCTGATGATGCAACAATTTTAGTATTTCATCAAGATAAAGGGGTCATGGAGAAAATAATGAGTTTGCAGTTACAAGAGATATCCAAATGGTTTCTAGAAAATAAACATTATCTACATATAGGTAAAACTGAAGTCATTCTAGAATGGAATTAAAGAAGGATGACTCTTTTTTTGGTTAAGATTAGTGTTGGGCTAGTTACTCAAAGAATGTAATATATTACTCATTACTAGTTAGTCATTTCAAAAGTAATATTGTTACTTCACTTATTACTTTCTGGCAACAGTAATTAGTTACATTACTAGTTACATTACTTTTTCTTCACGCCCCACAGAAGTTGTAACTGTGTATCTTCCACATAAAATTCTAGTGATTGATAGTGACATTCAAGTAGAAGTGTTGTATTAATCTCATTAATTGGCATGTGTACCTTGAAGCTAATTGTAATTTCTCCATTACCCATATACGATTATATTTCATTATGTATTTTATCAAATCACATAAGTTTGTAAAAAACTTTCATTTCCAAGAAGATTTTTAATTATAGTAATATAATGTACCACATGCTGATCAGAGGGATGTTGGTGGAATGTAATACCAGAGTAAAGTAAAGCCACAACTTACACAACAGTATTCAGATCATCTTTTTTCCTGACAAAATCAATATAATGCAATATTTCTATCTGCTGAATGTAAGCTTTTCCATATTTCAAGCTTGCCTGCTGCACTGGGGACATCACATGCATGTGCGAGTTGTGAAAATTCTGAAAATAAATCTAGTAATTATTTGATTGTTGGATTTTAAATCAGCGGGGTTGGGGCATCAAAAGTAACTAATCTGTTTTATGGATGGTAACTGTAATATTATTACTGAAATCTTATTAGTAATTAGTTACACTACTAGTTACTGCAAAAAGTAATATTATTACAGTAACTAAGTTACTAGTTACTGCCCAACACTGGTTAAGATTAATGACATAGCAATAGAGTAAAAAAAAAAAAGTAAATTTGGGTTGTTTAATAGATAATATATTAACAGGTGATGTTATGGCTAGAAAGGTATTTACGAAAACATGTTGTAAAATTAGGTTTTTATCGAGGCAAAGCCGACTTATTGGATGTTCATTCCTTAAAATTGTTTACAGGGGCCTTGATTCAACCCCATTTTGATTGTTACCTCTTTCTAGTGTAGTACTGTAGTTGTTTCCAGGGTATGAAAAGATAAATTGCAAAAGGCTTAAAACTAATTAGTTAGATTAATTTTTAGAATTCATCCTCAAACACATTTGTGTAGTGAATGTTTTAAGGATTTGGGTTTGTTAACTAAAACCTAAGAAGTAATTAGTTACACTACTAGTTACTGCAAAAAGTAATATTATTACAGTAACTAAGTTACTAGTTACTGCCCAACACTGGTTAAGATTAATGACATAGCAATAGAGTAAAAAAAAAAAAGTAAATTTGGGTTGTTTAATAGATAATATATTAACAGGTGATGTTATGGCTAGAAAGGTATTTACGAAAACATGTTGTAAAATTAGGTTTTTATCGAGGCAAAGCCGACTTATTGGATGTTCATTCCTTAAAATTGTTTACAGGGGCCTTGATTCAACCCCATTTTGATTGTTACCTCTTTCTAGTGTAGTACTGTAGTTGTTTCCAGGGTATGAAAAGATAAATTGCAAAAGGCTTAAAACTAATTAGTTAGATTAATTTTTAGAATTCATCCTCAAACACATTTGTGTAGTGAATGTTTTAAGGATTTGGGTTTGTTAACTAAAACCTAAGAGAGATTTTTTTATAATTGTGTATGACACATTATTATTATAATTATTATAATTTTCCAGGTTATTTAGAAATTTACTTTCATATGGTGAGACAACAACATTTTTTTTGTATGATACTAGGGGTAGGAATTTTAATATTTGTCCATGTAAGTTTAAAAGTTTGGTGGGGAAAAATATGTTTGCATGCAGTGCAAGTGCATTACCAGTGTCAATAAAGGGAATAAAAGACTTGGAGAATTTGTGATTCAGTTTTTTTTTTTTATTAATAATATTTGGTTAGGATATATTGTTTTTTATTTCTTCTGCATTTCTGTACATAGTCTCTATCCTTTATATTAACAGTGAGGAAATAAGCCAATGGCTTCATTGTGTTTTTTATCCTCTACAGTTTTTTTTAAAGTGAATGGGATGCTTGTTATTTTGTACAGTTTGTAAACTTGTCAAAAAAAAAAAAAAAGCCTGGCACACAATGCTTGGTAAGATAGCTCTGCAACAGTATTAAAAATGACAAGTTTTACGAGATTTTACAAGCAGGCTAAATACTCATTATACTGCTATAAGCTCATAGCCATGTGGTTTTGAAACACAGGGCAATTTGGGCTCTGTTTGATCATCCTGACCAGCCTTACATGGTAACATTGGCTCAAACAATGGTGTGAGTTTGGGGCAAGACTTGCTGTTTGCTGGCCCAAGGCAGATGGGGGAGTTTTTGTGCAATTCCTTTTGACGATGCTAGTGCTGAAGAAATTACACACTTTGCTCTTTAATTTCAGGCCCCAGGATGGTTGTGCTTCACTCTGTATGGGCATCATAACAGTTCTTCATGTTCTTCTGACTGTTATTACAGCAAATGATCTGAAGTGGTGTTATGAAGCCTGCTTTAAACTTCCTGTCTCAGTCTTTCAGTCTCCAGAGCTCTCAGCAGAAGCTCTGTTGTCTGTATCTCATGTCTTATCCTGAGGATGAACTTGCTTCAGCAGAAAGCGTCCACTGTGAACACACTTTGATGAATGCTCTAAGAGGTCTACAGATGAAATTAATGTTTCAGCATTGCATTCAGTCTCTTTCATCCTTCTGTGTCTCCTGCTTCTAGTTCTTCCAATCCTTTCCTCCTCTTCTCTGTGGTTTTCCCGTACCATCACCTTTCTCTGTCTGTGTGTTTGTACTGCATTTAACACCGGTTTCCGCTGCTTGTTTCCTAGGCCAGTCAGCTCGGTGTGTACAAAGCCTTTGTGGACAACTATAAAGTGGCAGTGGAGACAGCAGAGAAATGCGGCCAGGCCAACAACCAGTTTCAGAAGATCTCTGAGGTGAGCTCATCTACCCCCTACCGCCCGACACTATAGGCCTGATCATTACTGTCTGCAGTACATACTTCACTAATGAAGAGCTAATGTTTGAAATGGTCCAGAATTGTCCGTTGTTTAGTCATTGATCAGTATTAAATGTTCCCCAATGTAAATTAAAATCTGTGTCTAACATTTTGAATATAGATATGAAATGATGGAAAAAATAGATGACAGATTACTTTTAAATATGCAACTAAAACTGCCAGTAATTGGTGGCAAGTTACTGTCTTAGTGAGGCTTTGAATCAACCGATTTGTTCAAAATGGCTGATTGATTCAGGAACTAAATATGTGACTGTCTTTAAGAATGTGTCATTGAATCATTTACTCAACTGATTTGTTAAAAAATGTAGATTCATTTAGTAATGAAACCACAGTGTATTCCTAGGAGATGAAGATGGTTCTACTGTTAATTAGTTTATAGCTATTTTCGTTGACAAAATAGATCAAAACAGACAATATTTGCAATGTAAATAAGTCTAAAATAAGTAACTTACCGTAATATTAACTGTTGTATGAAATTGACATTATATGTGCAGTTGTGCAGATATTCAGGAAAATTGCTCCATACCTTAAATTTTGAGGGCATTTTTTATTAATTGTGGTGGCATCCCCATTAATTTACGAATTTGGCATTAAGAAAGCATGTTTTTGAATGCTAACTTTTTTAAAATAATTCATTCATTCATACATTCTATAATAAACATTGATTAAAGGTTGCAAAACATGATTTTTTTTAACAGCATCAAGCTCTTTAAAACATTCAGATATCCATTATATACATGTAGCACATCCATTACAATATTAGTGGTGTTTGTTTCGCTATTACTATTTCTCATACTTATTTGAACAAACCCCCAACTCGTAACTATTAAAATGCTCATATCTTGTTCTGCATCTGCGTCTTATTTTGATGCCTCAGACCTTGTTTGGCAGATGATTAAATGGGTAAAAATCTTACATTGGAACCACCCAGCCATATCTAAACCCCCCAATATATCATGGGGGGTGGACACTTTTGACCTTGCAACACCATAGCAACCACATAGCAATGGACTAAAACTTCTCAGGATATCTTAGAAACTGCATAGCAACACTATTGCAAGGCATTTACATCACTTAATGTAGATCTACAGTGGGGAAAATATTTATGTGATCCCCTGCTGATTTTGTAAGTTTGCCCACTTACAAAAAAATGAAGGGTCTGTAATTTTTATGGTAGGTTTTTTTTAACGTATAGAGACAGAATACCAACCAAAAAATCCAGAAAAAACATTATATAAAGGTTAGAAATTGATTTGCATTTCAGTGAGAGAAAAAAGTATTTGATCCCCAAGTAAAACATGACTTAGTACTTGGTGGAGAAACCCTTGTTGGCAAGCACAGAGGTAAGATGCTTTTTGTAGTTGGAAGCCTTCTCCATCACATTTCTCTTCATTATTCCATACAGGAAGTATTCACATTCTGCTGCCTGAGCCAGGCATGAGCTCTGTATGTGTGTGTGCTTGTGTCTGTGTATATTTATAGTGAGCATCTTCTCTGTTGACAGAATCTGAAAGTTAAAGGTCCTAAAGAATCCAAGGACTGCACCACATCCGCCACCATGGAGGGTAAGAGCGAATCTATTGATCAGTGATGTGTGTATGACATGCATGAGCGATCTGCATTTACAGAGCAGTAGAATGTGTGTTGTGTCGATTGATGGTTCATTTTATAGAGTGAATGGTTATGTTTGAATGAGTGAACTGCGAGCAGTGTCTCTTTAAGAATGAGTTCAGCTCTACATCTCCTTACTTGTGTATGCAGCATCCACAACTCAAATGTGTGTGAGTGTGAGGAAGAGTGCGTGCTTGCTCATTCTGAGTGTTTTGGAGAGCAGGAGAGCATGAGTCTCTCTCTCTCTCTCTCTCTCTCTCTCTCTCTCTCTCGATCTCTCTCTCTGTCTTGGTAGTGTTTGTGAGAGACGGATAAAAGGGGGTGCAGAATGAGAAGGAAGTAGTGAGAGAGCAGTCTGCAGGATCAGTGGAAGTTTGTCATGGAGGTTCTGCTGGTTCTCCGGCTGTGTTGTAACTGCACTTATGGTAACTATATCGCATTTTAATGCTTTGATAGTCTGGATGACTTTCAATTTGTGATTGTTGTGCGGATTGGTTTAAGAAATTATTTTGTGTCTGTGGTTTTGAACCATTCTAGAGCTTAGTTCTGCTGGTAAACAGGTTTGATCTCATTTCAGTGCAGTTGTCTGTAATTGTGCATGTCTGATATTTCAATGCAGTTGTAAGACCTCAAGCATAACAGCACTTATAAAACCGATAATTCTGATTCTGGCTTCTGATTGGTCATTATAGAATTACAGCCGTGCTAAAATATGCAATATAGTAACAACACTTTTACTTAGCTACTTGTGCACCATATATGGTCAGTTATTAATCTTAGATGATATGTCAGGGACTAAATTGTCAGATGGAGGATGACATGTAAGATATAAGCTTAAAATAATGTCTTATGAAAATGTATGTCTTCAATTTGTCATGTGTTGTTCCTGATAATTCCCTTTATCCGTGACTGTATTCATAACATTTTTCTCATAACTTATTACCTAAATATGCACAAGACAGAGCTCTGGCAAAGTGTTTGATGGATAGAAATGTGTAAAATCCATATGGAAACATTCGAATGGGTTTGAAACCATAATGAACAACTGGAACTGCCTGTCTAATTCTAATTGGTCAATTGATGTTTATGACAGAATGTGCTCAGCTGTGTCACGTCCCAAAAATAATTTGCATATCTATTTATAATAGGGTAATGTAGAGAAAAACGGTGTTAAAATTGCTTTATTTTTTTTCTTCATTTTATCCTATGTCTTTTGGTGTTGACAGACACACATCAATGAAGTCAGCATGTTCAAACTTTACAAGATGCAAATAAAAATGGAACTCAAACTAAAAACACATTCACTTGCAATGAGGAATGTTTGCACCGTCCACAGTGTGTTTTTGTGGTGTATTGAATTACTAAAATTCAACAGGCATTTAGACCAAAATTGTCATATTTCCTGTTTGGCCTCATTTTATTAATTTACCATTGTATGAAGCATGTACTAAATTGTTCTATAAATTTTGTTTATTTTGAAAGCATTTTTGTATACAGTTAGTATGATAAACAATTATGGTGTTGATTACCAGTATAAAAACTAGTTAGGCAGCACTGTAGTGACTGATATCAGACTGCCATCTGACTTTCAACATGTTGTTTTATGGACATGCATTCATGTGTATTTGTATGCATTTGCTCCTTTGAAGTTCCTCCTTCCACCCCAAGGTGACTGGAGGATTATCTTCCACAATGCACCAGATGATAGACAGATGATAGATGATAGACAGATAAAGGTAGACTTCAAAGTGCACAAGTGGCATAGACAGGAGAGAGGAATAACAATATAGAAAGATTGGAACAAGCACTGAAGAATTGATCCGTAATCTCCTGTGCACTTTCTCTCTCATGCCATCAGATTTTTAGCTACCAAATTATAGCCAATCAGATGTAATCAACCCCCTCAAGAGTTGAGCCAAGTCTGTGTCAGGGTGTAAATAAGGGATGAAATGGAGCAAATGAAACCTAAGAAAATGTCAGAAGTGTGACACTAAACGAATACACACTGTTGTAATCGGAAAGATTTGTGGCAACAAAAAATAGGTTTTGTTTTTGCTTTGCTTTTTGTTTTGTCTTATTTTATTGTTTTATTTATTTAATAATTTATTTTGAGACAGAGAGAATGTTTTGGAGAATGCAGCAAGTTTGCAATCCTTCTGATTAAGAAAATATAATGGCCATAATAGACAGTTAAAGATTGTTACACAGTTTTCCCCTGCAGTCAGCTAGCAGAGTCTAGCAGTAGAGTATGTCAGTATGAGCTAATGTCAACTCTCTTTCTGAGTCCATATATTAAGTTTGCTTATGCTTTACACACCTCTAATGTCTTCTGCCACTGAGCGAATCCTGCTTTGTCCAATCATATCACAGAGTACTGTATGTCCCATCCAACACCTGATCTCGGTTCTTCTCTGTCAGGCCCTAGCTGATGTGACAGAATTCCTCAAGCACTTTTTTTTATATTTAGCAAAGCATAAGAACTGACTAATATTTGTTGTGTGAGCATGACGGTGTCAGCCCACAGCAATTTTTGCAATATTTGTTTTCCTCTTCCAAAGCTAGTTAGACTCATAACAGTGACATTTAGATAAAATTATCTCCCAATGACACCCAACTCACAGTGCTTTGTAATCATATACATGGGGGTGGATTGAGAAAATATGGAAAATAGAAAGAAATTTTATAGTTAACAGTTTGAGATCTGACTCAGAAGCTAATCTAAAAGTATTTTCGGTTCCCTCATTTATGACAGTTGCGTATGAATTTAAACTGTATTTTTCGTTAAAGATATGGCCTCCATTCTGCTTGTTTTTACTTTAAACAGTGTATTTTAATGCATATAATACTGTAAGTGAGAATTATTGTCATTGCTGCCATTATGGAAAGTCCTTGCAATATGTATAAGTGTGTAATCTGTCATCTATTATAGACAGAGATTGAAAGTGACCCAATTTGATGATTAATCGCACAATGCTGTCCCACTTGACCTTGGCAACTGTCCCAATACAAAGACACAAATACAAAAACATACACACAGGTGTCTACAGTACCTACTGTAATCACTCCATCACCTGCTGCTCTATTTCTCTCATATTCTCGAATATGACTCTGGTCCTTTTCCTCTCAGTCCAGCAGGATGAATGTATGGGAAATCAGTAGTTCTATTGATCGAGAGGGGCTTATTCTGTGACTGACTGTGTGTGAAGGGCATCTTGAACTCAAATTAGTATGCAAGTGTCTGTGCTGAGATGTGCTTCAAGGTTGTGATTGGATGTCACAATCTAAAGCGACTGTCCTGGGCTGCATCTCTCAAAAGCATTGTTAGTCTGAGTAGCTCATAGAGAGCACTGGTGCCAATTCTTTTGGGAAATGAAGACCTGATTGGTTCCCTTTCAGATCCAGTCAGCTGAGATTGGTCAGGATTTGTGAGGTAGAATGAGCTAAAATCCACTGACTAGGAACTAGAATAGAAACTGCATAGCACCAATGCAATTAAAACACTTACAGTAAGCATTAATTTAGTGAAACTGTCATCACAACACACTTGCACCCACTTAACAAGACTGTAGCAACCACAAAGAACACTTTAGCGTCTGACTAACAAGCACCAGGACAATGACCCTGAACAGCATAACCACCTAGCAATGCCCTAGCAACGACCCTGAACACCATAATCCATAGTAAACACTAGGGATGTGCCGATACCAATAACCGATAATTCTTTATTTTTGAAAGCCGATAATCGATATGTTGGCCGATAAATCTATATCCAAATTTTTATATACTTTTTGAGAGCCTGATTACAAAAAAGGTCTCATCATTAAAAACCACATCCCGAACACTTCAACATAAGCAGCCTAGTTTGAACGGTGTACGTTTTAAAAATAAGTCGTCAAAAAAAGTCTTACAAATAAATAAAATAATGCATAAATAATGCAAACAAGTCATTGGACATCATTACACGTGTAAAGAATCAAAATGAATGTGCCACCAATAAAATGGAATAGCCTCTGCACAGACAATAATTAAATGATTTTAATTACTAAACCATATTTCTGATGAAAATAATAGAAAAATACAAGTGGTTGTTATTATTAATAATGTATCAATGCTTTTGAAAAAGTAACAAATTAATACCACTGTTTTAAA